AGGGAGCCCGATGCGGGACTCGATCCCGGGACTCCAGGATCGTGACCTGAGCCGAAGGCAGTCGTTTAACCAACTGAGCCACCCAGGCGCCCTTGATCTCATTTCTAATCTTCATGTCTCACAATTGGTTGGGACAAAGAGGACTATGAAACATGGCTTCATCCAGCAAGCATGTAAACCACCTCTGCACCGGGCCCTCGACTCAGGAGTGCCCGTCCTTGCGTACCTGTTGAAGTCCGGGGCACAAGCGGAGAGGACTGGACTTGTGTCTGCTGAAGGGCCCGTTCCTGTGTCTGTGTGCTCCTGACTTGCCTTCTTGGTCTCTGTCATGTTCTAGGTCCTCTGCGTGGGGACCCGCTGTGTGTATATGGATAACGCCAATGAGCCACATAATGTAATCATCTTAAAGCACTTCACGGAGAAGAACAGGGCTGTGATCGTCGATGTCAAAACCCGGAAAAGGAAAACAGGTCCCAAGCCTAATTATTTTTCTAAGAATGGAGGGAAGCTGTCAAATCTCTGCAATACCCTGAAATAAATGAAAATACCCTGGTTCTTGCCCCTGCATGTGATATTTTAAAAAGCAAATTATAACTCCCTGAGCTGCTTTTTCCTCATCTCTGAAGTGATGTGGTTGAATAAGGGTAAATTGGAAGACCTTAGCTGTGCTGTCGTTTTGTATATGTGGCTCCAGGGTTCTGGGGGGACACATTTAGGGTCTGAATATTTAATGTTGTCATTGGCTGGTGATTTGTTTTCTAATGGGTAATTTAAATATACAGTGGAGTCAGACAGCTACAGGAGTGTAAAACGTCTTTGAGTAATTGTGGTGACAATTTTGCTTGATCAGTAGAACAGTGAAAGTATATCATAAGTGACCTTTGACTTAATTTGCCAGCCCCAAAACAGCCTGGAGTATGTAACCGTATGTGCCCAGTTCTGCTTCTGAAATAATCTGCTGTCTTATTCAGCTTCAGTGCTGGGCACCATCTGTGCTACTTTTGTGTGTGGGGTGAGGTAACGGTCAAGGTTCTTGTTCTTTTTCCTTTTTTGTCTTTTTTCGTTTTTGCATATTAACATCCAGTTGTTTCAGGACCATTTCTTGAACAGACTGGTTCTCCATTGAATTATCCTGGCACCTTCGTTGGAGATTAGTTGACCCACGTGTGTGTGTGTGTCTGTTTATGAGTTCTGTTATAGTCCATTAATCTATGTATTTGTCCTTACTCGAAGACCACATTCTCTTCACCATTATAGATTTATGCTAAGTCTCCAAATCAGGTTCTCCAACTTTGTTATTCTTTTGGCAGCATTGTTTTGGCTAGTCTAGTTCCTTTGCCTTCCTGTATAAATTTTAGAATCAGCTTGTCAGTTTCTATCGAGGAACCATTGAGTCTGTATATCTGGGGAGAAGTGACATCTTAACATGACCCATGAGCACTGTATATGTCTCTCTTTATTTAGGAAATAAATTGAGATCTCTAATTTCTCTTCATCTGGCATGGAGTAGCAGCTGCTTTCTCTCATTCCTGAATTTGGTACTTTGTGTCTTCTCTTGTTTGTTTCCTAGAGTGTCTCACCAGAGATTGATCAATGTATTTTTTTAAAGATTTTTTTTTTTTTTAATTTATTTGAGATAGAGTGACAGAGAGAGAGAGCACGAGTGAGGGGCAGAGGGAGTTGGAGAAGCAGGTTTCCTGCTGCGCAGGGAGCCCGATTTGGGGCTCGATCCCAGGGCCCCAGGATCGTGACCTGAGCCAAAGGCAGACACTTAACCAGCTAAGCCACCCAGGCGCCCCTGATCCGTGTATTTGATCTTTTCAAAGAACAACTTTTGTTCTCACTGATTTTTTTTTGCTATTATTTCTCTGTTCTCTGCTTCACTGATTTCTGTCTTTGTCATTATTTTTTTTTTTTTAAAGATTTTATTTATTTATTTGACAGAGAGTGAGATTCTGAGAGCAGGAACACAAGAAGGGGAAGTGGGAGAGGGAGAAGCAGGCTTCCTGCAGAGCAGGGAGCCCCATGTGGGGCTCGATCCCAGGACCCCGGGATCATGACCTGAGCCGAAGGCAGAAGCTTAACGACTGAGCCACCCAGGCGCCCCTGTCTTTGTCATTATTAATTTCCTATTTCTTCTTGCTTTGCATTTCATTTGCTGTTTCTTCTTTCTCTAATTTCTTAGGGTGGAAGTCTAAATCACTGATTTGAAGTTTTTCTTCTTTGTTGATAGAAACATTGTAATGCTATGAATTTCCCTCTAGGGATGGCATTAGCTGCATCCGTAATTTTTAAAAAGATTTATTTATTATTTTAAAGAGAGAGAGAGATCGTGGAGGGGGGGTGATGGGCAGAGGGAAAAGGAGAGAGAGAGTCTCAAGCAGCTCCACACTGAGTGCGGGCCAGATGCGGGGCTTGATCTCACAATCCCAAGACCATGACCTGAGCCAAAATTAAGAGTCGGATACTCAGCCATCTGTGCCACTCAGGCACCCCTGCATCCATAATTTTTGATAGCATTTATCTTATCATTTTCACTCAGGTCAGAGTATTTTCTATTTATCTTAACATTTTTTCTTTGTTTTGTGGATTATTTAAGAGTTTATTGTTTAATTTACAAATACTTGGAGGCTATTCCAGACATCTTTCTATTACTGATTTCAAGTTTAATTCCCTTGGGGTCAGAGAACATACTTTGGATTATTTTAGTCCTATTAAGATTATTGAAACTTGTCTATGGTTCAGAATTTGATCTGTTTGAGTAAGGTTCCATGTGCACTTAAAAGAGATTCATATACTAGGTTGTTGGCTGTAGGTGTCATTTAAGTCAAGTCAGTTGGTAGTGTTTTTTTAAGTCTTCCCTGCTCTTACTGATTTTCTGTGTGTCCTGATGATTACTGAGAGAGGAGTGTTGTGGTCTCTAACCGTAATTGTCTATTTCTCAGTTCAGTACAAAATGTCCGTTTTTATCTCTGATAATATTCCTTGTTCCAAAATTGACTTTAGTGTTTATGTAGCCTCTCTAGCTTTTGTTTTATTACTAACATTTGCATGGTGTGTACACTCACTTTTTTTTTAAAGATATTATTTGTGTGTCAGAGAGAGAGAGAGAGAGAGAGTGCCCAAGCAGGGGGAACAGCAGAGGGAGAAGCAGACTCTCCGCTGAGCAGGGAGCCCGATGCGGGGCTCAATCCCAGAACCCTGGGATCGTGACCTGAGCCGAAGGCAGACACTTAACTGACTGAGCCACCCAGGTGCCCCTGTATGCTCTCACTTTAACTTGCCTGTGTCTTTACATTTAAAGTGGATTTCTTGTAGATAGCACGTAGTGGAATTTTCTTTTTTAATCCAGTCTGACAATCTCTGTGTTTTCATTGAGATGTTTAGACTATTTACACTTAATGCAGTTATCAAGATGATTGAGTTTGAATGTACTAAGTTCTTGATTGTTTTTTATTTGCCTCACTTGTTTGGTTTTCCTTTTCTTCTACTTCCCCTGTTTTGTTTTTGTTTTTTAATGACTCCATTTATTTCCACTATTGGTTTTTAACTGTATCTCTTTTAATTTTTTCAGTGGTTGCTCAAGGATTTACCATAGTTTACCTTCAGGTAATTTTTTAGTGGTTGCTTTAAGGTTTATAATATTCACCTTTAATTCATTGTAGTTTACCTTCAAATAATATTCTACCACTTAACATACAGTGAGGAAACACAGATTTTATATTTCTATCCCCCCATCCTTGTGCTATTATCATTACACATTTTACTTCTACATGTTATAAACCTCGGAATAAGACATTATTTATTTTTGCTTTAAAAAGTCAGATATTTTGGGGCACTTGGGTGGCGCAGTTGGTTAAGCATCTGACTCTTAGTTTTGGCTTAGGTCATGATCTCAGGATCATGGGATCGAGCCCTGCACTGGGCTCTGCGCTCAGCACAGAGTCTACTTAAGACTCTCCCCTGCTGGGGCGCCTGGGTGGCTCAGTCGGTTAAGCGTCTGCCTTCGGCTCAGGTCATGATCCTGGGATCCTGGGATCGAGCCCCACATCCGGCTCCCTGCTCGGCGGAGAGCCTGCTTCTCCCTCTCCCTCTGCCTGCCACTCTGCCTACTGTGCTCTCTCTCTATCTCTCTGTCAAATAAATAAATAAAATCTTAAAAAAAAAAAAAAAAGACTCTCCCTGCTTGTTCGTGCGCACACATGCTCTCTCTCAAATAAATAAATAAATCTTTAAAAAAAATTTCTTGTTCAATAAAATAAAAAGAAATAAAAAATAAAAGGATATTTTAAGAAAGGTTTTAAAATGAGAAAACAATATCTTTTTATTTACTCACATGTTTACCATTTCTGGTACTCTTCATTTCTTTGTGTAAGTTCAAGTATCAATCTGGTATCATTTCTCTTTGGCCTGAAAAACTTCCCTTAACATTTCTTATATTGCAGGTCTGCTGCAACAGAGTTTTTGTTTTGGTGTGTCCTACCAAACCAAAAAAATATTTATTTTGACTTTATCTTTGAAAGATGAGTTTGCCGCATACAAAAATCTAGGCCAAGAGTTTTTTCTTGGAATACTTTGAAGTTTTTGATCCATTTTCTTCTGGCTTACATAGTTTCGGCCGCAAAGTTTGCTGTCATTCTCTGTTACTCTTCAAATGTGTCCTTTTTTCCCTCTGGCTGCTTTTAAGATTTTTTTCTTAGTCACTGGTTTTTAGCATTTTGAATAGGATGTACCTTGACATGATTTTCTTTGTTTCTTCTTCTTGGGGGTTTATTGAGCTCCTGGATCTGTGGATTTACAGTTTCTATCAAATTCAGAAAAATTTCAACTATTATGTCTTCAAATAGTTGTCCCCCCCACCTCCACCCCCACCCCCTCCACCAGGATACTTCCACTAGTATCCACTAGGATGCTGGGTGGGGGGAAGACAGAATATTCCCAGGTCTCTGTGAGCTCCAAGAATTGTTCGTCCAACTGCTTTTTGGTAGTTCTTTCCTAGAACTAGGTGGTTTCCCACCACACATTTGTGCAGCTCACACTCAGCCAAAGACGCGAGGAAGCTCTTGTGGCTGTCTAGAGAGGTCCCCCATACCCTGTCTGTCTTTGCCTCTTCCTTCTTTGTGATATTCTGCCCCATAAATTCTAGCCGCCTTGACTTCCCTGAATTCACCTCTTTCTCATCAGTTCATTGAGATTTCAGGACTCTGCTTAGATTTCTAGTCCCTGCTCTGCAGCCTAGAAATTGTCTCCAGAAAGCCTGGCTGTTGGAGGGCTCCTCTGGTTTAGGTCCCTTCTATCGGGGATCATAGTCCTATACTGCTTGTTGCCTCCTGTCTGCAAACCATTGTTTCATGTACTTTTTCAATGTTCTGGTTGTTTAAGATAGGAGAGTCAATCCAGTCCATCTTAGTTTTGTTTGGGAGTGGAAGTTCTACTTGCATGTTATATGTAAGAAGTTCCTGTAGCACTTGGAGACAACCTGTTGGTGCACAGTAGTAGGAATGTAAATTGTCTCTCTCAGTTGCTTGTTGGATGGCTGGCCCAGTGCCATTTCTGTGCTCACCTGCCAGCCAGCCTTAGATGTAACGGCTAAGTTTGAAGCCAGAGTGATCTGTGTTTTGGGGTCTGCAGTTCTTGCTTCGGTAAGGCGCATTACTGGGGAAGAGACTTAGCTGCAGGAAGCATTAACTGCTTTCATGCCTTTGTCTTCCTGCCTGACCTCACCCTCCAGTGAAGGACTACCAGCTGGTCCAGAAAGGACAGGAGTGCAGCAGCTCTCAGGCCCAGCTGAGCCAGTACTCCCAGCACTTTGCCTTTATCGCCAGTCACCTTCTGCAAGCCAGTGTGGAGAGCCACTGTCCCGAGGCGGTGGAAGCAACCTGGGTCCTGTCCCTGGCCCTCAAAGGACTATATAAGACGCTAAAGGTAACTGTGACCTTTTTCCATTTGCTCATGAATCACTGTGATGCAACATCTGCAGGGCATTTACTACGAGGAGATGCCATCTGATTTCGATGGTTGGTTAACCAAAGGATCTTGATTATTTTTAGGAATGGTGGAGGTCTTGCACAAGGATAGCTCTAAGGAAGAAACAGAATTTTCCCAGTAGTTGGTTCTTTATATTTTTTTAGTACTGTTCCGTGGAACCAGGTATTTACCTGATGGGCATGTAACCTTGGAAGATGGGAAGAAACTGGATGGAATCGTTTCTCACTTCCCTCCGAACCACAGCTCCTCCGGCCCATCGTAGGGCCAGAGGAGGGGGAGAACAAAGGGGACCGGCGTCCTACGGGACTTGGAGTGATAGGCTTGGCAGTTGGGGTGGGAGGAGCTGGGAGAAGCCTTGACTTGTGGGGGAGATGGTTCTTCTGCTACCTGAGGGGCCTGACAGGGGAAAGGGATCACTTTTAGGGCGATCTTCCCCACAGAAGTAGCCATGAAAGAAGGGTTTTATTTTAAAAGTCTCTGAGTCCCTGGACTTTGGCAGAACTGCCCAGGAGGCCACAGAAGGACTCAGGCAGCACAAGGAGTCAGCACGATGGTGCTCCAGCCCCGGGTCCCCCTGAGTGCTCGTGGTGAGGGGACCAAGGCCATGCAGCTGCTGTTTGTTGCCTCCAAGGCATTTATCACAATCTGCTCATGTTTTAGTTGTTTAATTATAGTAGCAAAGAGAAAATAAACTCCCTGAGGGCACCATGAGTCATAAAAAGCCTTTCTGAGGAGGTGAAATGTGAGATGGTAGGTGAGGGGTCTTGGCAGAGTGATGCATGCAGGGAGAGCCACAGACGCCAGGCCCAGGAACAGGCATGGTTGTCAGCGACAGGAAGAACACCTCCGGGCTTTCAGGATCCTGTGGAAGACCAGAGGAGCAGGCAGGGAGTCTGCAGCGCCCCGTCTGCCATGACTCAGGACTTAGGTTATGTTCTGACGAGCACTGGAAGCTTTGGGAAGGCAGAGTGCTGGAGAGGGTCGTTCCTATAGGATGAAGCCCACAGAGTGTACTGGGCTCCAGAAATGCTTGCGGAGGGCCGAGTCACACAGGGGGCGTCCTGGGCTCCAGAAATGCTTGCCGAGGGCCGAGTCACACAGGGGGCGT